CCCACCTCCCTAACCCACACCCTGGATATCACTTGTATACACAGCACATATAGCCAACAAAGGCAACTAGCAACTTACCTTTACAGAGAAACTTCTGGGGCCCAACACATCCAAATCCAATATGGAGGGCTGGAGAGATGGCTCAGTGGTTGAGAGCACTGACTGCTCTTGCACAGGATCTGGGTTCAGTTCCCAGCACCTGCATGGTGGCTAACAACTGTCTGTAACTCCAGTTACAGGGGATCTGACACCCTCTCTGACCCCCATGGGCATTGCATGACAAGGGTACACTTACATACATGCAGGGAAAACACTCATACACATAAAATAAAAAAAGAAAACCAATATGCGCCACTACCTGCCGCTCACAGGAACTTGCTCAACCAGACTCTGGCAATGACCGTACGTACATCCACTCTGGTTTTTGTTAGTTTGCTCTGTGGCCTCCACAGCCTCACTCATGTATTAATGGTAATGTATTAATGGTAAACAACTTTGGATGGCTTCCTATGTGCCAGGAACTGTCCTCAGGGCTATGGTAATCCATTCAATGAATCATGACAACAGTCTGATGAGGGAGATGCTGCTTTTGTCCCCAGAGTTCACGCACATGTGGGTGGTGGAGTCAGGGTTCCAGCTCTGGGGCCCAGAGCTCACACATGCACACACTAGGCACTTTCTTCGTAGCCTCTGCTCTGTGCATAACCTTGGCAATGACTCTCACCTATTCATCTTCTCAGAGACGCTCGAGGTGTTTGTTCCAGTGGGTCCTCAGCTCGCTGCTGGCCTGGCAGACATACAAGGCTATCCAGGCATGGATAACCTTTCCAGGCGGCTCTAGCGAGACATACTGGTATGAGCCAGACACCACCACTGTGATGTTCCTAAGAAGGCACATGGTCCACACTCCCAGCTCTGAGGTTGGCAACTGGACTGAATTTGGAATCACCTAGGAGACGTACCTCAGGGCATGTCTGTGAGGATGTTTCCAGAGATGTGTAACTGAGAAGGAAAGACCAGACTCACAGACTCCAGCCCCAGACTGGGTGGAAAGGAGGAAACAAGGAAGCCAGCTGAGTACAACACTCCCCACTCTTTGCTTCCCCATCAGCCCACATGGGAGGAGTCCTCACTACATGCCCCACCTCCATGACTGTGTCCTACTTCACTGCGGTGGACTGGATCTCCTTGTGTTGGTTACTTACAGCCGTGACAAAAATGCCTGACAAAAGCAACTGAAGGAAGGAAGGAAGGAGGGAAGGAGGGAGGGAGGGAAGGAGGGAGGGAAGGAAGGAAGGAAGGAAGGAAGGAAGGAAGGAAGGAAGGAAGGAAGGAAGGAAGGAAGGAAGGAAGGAAGGAAGGAAGGAAGGAAGGAAGGAAGGAAGGAAGGAAGGAAGGAAGGAAGGAAGGAAGGAAGGAAGGAAGGAAGGAAGGAAGGAAGGAAGGAAGGAAGGAAGGAAGGAAGGAAGGAAGGAAGGAAGGAAGGAAGGAAGGAAGGAAGGGAGGAAAGAAGGAAGGAAGGAAGGAAGGAAGGAAGGAAGGAAGGAAGGAAGGAAGGAAGGAAGGAAGGAAGGGTGGGTTCATTTCAGCTCACAGTTTGAGGGAGCAGGCCATCATGGTGGGGAACACTTGGAGGCCGCTGGATACACTGTACCCACTGTCAGTGAGGCAGAGACAGAAGACATCTGGTGCTCAGCTCATTTTCTGCTCAGCCATGGATGGTGCTGCCCATAGTCAGGAAGTTTCTCTTCACTTTTAAAAATATTATTCATTATTATAAATAGTTTATTATTTTTATTTTATGTGTATGAGTGTTTTATCTGCATGTGTGTAAGTGCACCCATGTCTTTCAATGCCCAAAGAGGTCAGAAGAGGGAGCTGGATCCCCCGGAACTGGAGTTACAGAGGGTTGTTAGCTGCCATGTGGGTGCTGGGAATTGAACCTGGGTCCTCAGCAAGAGCAGCTGGGGACCTTAACTGCTGAGCCATCTCTCCAGCCAAGCTCTTTTCACTTTAATGAACCCAATCTAGAAACTCCTTCACAGACACCTAGGATTGTCTCCTGGGTGATGTTAGATCATGTGACGTTGACAGTATTAACCACCCCTCAGACCAAGACAGAAGAGATTCTTCCTTCCTTAAGTTTCCTTTGCCAAGTATTTTGTCGCAATGGAGAAAGTGACTGACATGCAGGCAGAGTGCAGCCCAGTCACAGCAAGATGACCTTTCCCAACCCAAATTCTCTGTCTCTATCTCTGTCTCTGTCTCTGTCTCTCTCTCTCTCTCTTTCCCTCTCTCTGTCTTTTTGAGACAGGGTCTCCCTGTAGCCCCAGCTGTCCTGGAACTCACTATGTAGACGAGGCTGGCCTTGAAGTCACAGAGATCCACCCGCCTCTGCCTCCCAAGTGCTGAGATCAAAGGCTTGTGCCAATCAATCTGAGTTCAAATCTCTTTTTTGAAATTTTATTTTTATCTTTTAATTTGGTGTGTGTGAAGGCCACAGGCGAATGCAGTGTGTGTTTCTATTTCTTATTGCTCTCCTCTTTCTTTTTTCCTTCCTTTTTTTTTTTTTTTTTGACAGTGTCTTGTCATGTAGCCCTGGCTAGCCTGGCCTAGAACTCCCAGTGCTGGAATTACAGGTGTGTGTTGCTGTGCCTGGCTGTTTTACATGGTTTCGGGGGTTTAAACTCAGGTCCTCAAGCTTGTACCGTAAGTACTTTACCTGACTGAGCCATCTCCCTAGCCCTAAGCTTCTGTTTTAAATATTTATTTAGGCAAGTTTGTCTGAAAGGCAAGAAAGTGACCATTACATGTCTGAATGAGGGTTTGCTTTGAAATTTTGATAATTAATTAAAAAAGAGAAACCCCAAGTCAACCAGGAGTTGGGAAATGCTGCTGAAAAGGCCCAGGCCATTGTTTTCGATGGGTGATGCGTCCAAGCACTTGAAGTCAGAGCGGTTTGGTCTGTCTTTCCGCCCATACCGCCAACATTTATTGAAAGAACACCCCAAGGACAGGCTCAAAAGCTTTTGAGTCTTTTATTGATAGTTTGAGTATCACCCTGGCCATAGTTATCAGATATTTCTTAACACAGTTCAAAGAAAAAGAAAGATTCTTTTGCAAAGGTCTTTACTTCCATTCTTCTGGCATTCTGTTTTTATTCCACGATTCATGCTCACATAACACAGGTTGTGATTCACATTCATACACAGCGGCTGTTTTTCAAGTTATTTTAAAAATGACTATTCTATTCTGAAGAAAACACAGGCAATCACCAGAAAGGAAAAGGACCAGGCTGGAGAGCCACTGAGCTCCAGGGTCTCTGTGTACCTGAAGCAAAACAACAAACTGAATTCTGGCTTTGCAAACCCAGCCTAGCACGCAGATGTGGAAGGAAGAAGCCATGAGAGGAACATCACAAAAGAGCAAGGGATGCGTGACAGAAAAGCCCTGAGTACAGAGGACAGGTGGGAGCCTGTCACTTCGGTAAGAAGCTGTGATTGCTTAGGGCCACATTCAGACCTGGCTTGGGTGGATACTGGCCCAGCCTCAGGCCACAGGGATGCACAGGCTCCGGCTAGTTGGCCTCTCTTTGCCTCATAGTACCAAACCCCATTTCTGTGATAGGCCTTGGGTCTGATAGCCCCAGGACATGTGAAACATATGAATTCCTAACAGATGAGACTAAATGGGGCTGTTCTTGCTGATGTGGCCCCCTTAAAACCCCGTCTTGTCCTAGCATTACACTTCTGAGAGCAGTGTTCCCGAGGTAGCTGGGGAAACAGATTGGCTGAGGCTATTCCTTGGGGAAGGAGGTACAGATGTCCTCAGGATGTGACCTGGAAATGTTGAGGTCACCTCCTGTCCTCCCAACAAGAGCTTCTGGTGGGACGCCTGCTTGCTGATTTCAGAGTTCCCAGGTCTCTAAGCCCCAAGGAACCTCATGACGCCCACACTCCGTTACATGCCCAGAAAAATCTAATGAGAAAGAAAAGCAGGGGCTGCCCCTATCCCTCTGCATGCTGCATGTAGAAGACGGCTCACAGCGCCAGTGGGAATCTTCTCAATGGGTTGCAAATGCCTCAAAAAGAATCTTGAAAATGTAATCAACATTGAAATCTTATATACGCTAACCTAGGAATATTCTAGTGTGTGTTTACTGTCTGTGCAAAGGACCCTGTAGGACCACTGGCTATGCGAGGCTCCCCGGGACGGGCAGGGAGCAGATCTGCAGAGACTCTATCTCTGAGGGAGAGAGTCAGCCACATCTGCATTTAGATAGTTCTAGAAATGCTCCTTAATGACCTGTACTTTTGATTACTGAATGGCATCATGAGATTGTTCCTAAAAATGTCCCTTTATAGGCACTTTATCCATTAAGTTTACAGTGAAGCCAAATGCATGAGTGAAACTTCCAGGCTGCAAAATGAACACTTAAAACCAAACTATAGACTTAGTAATATTCTCAGAAAACAATCATTTCCTTCTAAAGTTGCACATAATTAAGCAGAATGAAGGTGTGTTCGGTTTTGCCCTCCTCCCTGTAATCTGGACAGTCAACACTCAGATGAGCTTGTGTAGTTTCTCACTTGGTTGTTAAGCTGATTTGTGCACAGCAGAGTTGGAATTTCATCATCACCATTTATAATTAAGATGGAATTCTTGCGGACAAACAATTATATTTGACTATTTTTGCCCTCTGGGAGTTGATGAGCACTAACAAGAGCTTTGTTCATTCTTGAATCCATAGCAAGTCCTTCTCACACAGCGCCCTCGGCAACAGAAAAGGCTCTAGGAGCTGCTCTTGTACTTTGCAGCCCGTGTTTGTGTATGTGCATGTATGTATTGGGGAGAAGAAGTGGCTGATGAAGGTATGATTCTGCGTGTTTTCCATGAGGATGGCATGGCCAAGGGCCAGTGCCCGGTGCCAGTGCCCGGGGCAGGCCCTCTACACGTCAAACCAGTGGTCACCCATGCAGGTGCGGTTCCACTCTAATGAGGATGGCATGGCCAAGGGCCAGTGCCCGGTGCCAGTGCCGGCCCTCTACACGTCAAACCAGTGGTCACCCATGCAGGTGCGGTTCCACTCTAAGCCGCAGTTCCAGCACCATTCGAGCCTGCACTGTGGCTGTGGACACTTCATGTGCATGCATCCTCCTGTGGGGACAAAGGACACAGACACTGGGTTTGCAGCAAGATAGGGAGAGCTCCTGTTCCCATGCCAACATCCAATTCCAGAAGTTAGTTTCTAAGTGAACAATTCCAAAGAGCACAGGGGCAGAGAGACTGAGCTAGGGTGAATAGTCAGACAGCCCATGAGGCAGCTCTTGAGTTCAGACTTTCCCAAGAAACCAATGAAGTCCAGGCTGGGCTCTTTCTATTTACATATCTGAGTTTGTCTTATTTTTCTGATATGGGATTTAGCAACGAATGCTTCATGTCTCACAGACTGCTGATTCTATATTTAAATACATTTAAATATATTAAACGCACCATGTCAAAATACATAGTAAATATTTAATAATTTTGTATATAATACACTGTGATTCATATTTATCATCTTTTCAGTGTTACTTGGCTCAGCAAAATTTATAAACAGGAGTTGGGACAGTATATTATTTTCAACAGAGAATATGTTCCTTAATAATATTCAAAATTTTATTTAAGAGGAACAAATTGGTAGCCATGTTGGGGTGGGGCTATAGTTCAGCTGATAGAATGCTTGCCTAGTATGCATAGAGCCCTGGCCTCAATCCCCAGCACCACATAAATGGGCAAGGTGGTGCACATCCATGATCCCAGCACTCAGGAGGTTGGAAGCAGGAATGAGGAGTTCAGTCAAGGTCATTCTCGGCTACATGGTAAATTCCAGGCCATCTTAGGCTACATGGAACCTTGCCTCAAAAAGGAAAAAAAAAGTGAGAAATGGAAAGCCAGCATGCCCGGAGGCCTGCACATCCCATACTACAGCTCAAGATGCTCTGAGCTCAGAGGTTGGCTCTGCTGTAGAACATTCTCAGGGTGAAGCATGTTCCAGGGGTGAAGATGATACCCCCCCAAGGTCTGTGAGATCCCAGAGTTCCTCATGGAACAGGTGGAACAGGGCCTGCCTTGTCCATGGGAGACCACAAGCCCTTTCCCTTTAGCTGCTGTTGGCTTTTGAGCTCAGATACTGAGTCTTCATGACGCAGAGGACTGAGAAGTCACCATCAGAGAACTGTTTCTGACTGAACTTCCTGGGAGATACAGGCAAAGGCAGCATCTTTGATCGATGGCTACATTACTCTGAATGTGCTTTGTTCAGTGTGCTGGGTAGATTTAGTGTCAACTTGACACACCTGGGTAGAGGGAGCCTCAACTGGGGAATGGCCTCCAGTGAACTGGCTTGTGGCCATGTCTGTGGGGCAACGTCTTGATTGTTGAGTGATGTGGGAGGGCCCAGCCCACTGTGGGTGCTGCCACCCCTGGGCAGGTGGTCCTGTATTGTGTAGGAAAGCAGGCTGAGCGGGGGCCAGGGAACAAGCCAGTAAGCAGCATTCCTCCATGGCCTGTGCTTCAGCTCCTGCCTCCAGGTTTCTGCCCTGAATTCCTACCTTGGGCTCCCTCAGTGATAAACTGACCTGGGAGATGTGAGACAAATAAATCCTTTCCTCCCCAAGTTGATTTTCGTCAGCGTTTTTATCACAGCAACTGAAGGCAAACTAGAACATTCAGTTTTGCCAATTATCTTGTTAGCTCATTTTTTTTTCTTGCCAATTTTTTCCAAGTAATTGCCTCAGTTCTGACTAATTTTATTCATAGAAAGCTGGCAGGAGCCTCTGAAGTTCAAATGTTTCTGAATACGTGGCCATGGGCATTTGTCTTGGGATAACTTGAACATCTAAAATTCCTCTGTTCTGTGATTGTTTTTGGTTTGCTTGAAAGGTCACAAAAATTGTCTACATATATATACATATATATATATATACACACATACATCTTTGATATATATATATGGACTGGAGAGATGGTGCAGTGGTTAAGAGCACATACTGCTCTTCCACAGGACCAGAGTTCAATTCCCAGCAGTGATGTTAGGCAGCTCATGACCGCTTGTAACTCCAGCTCCTGGAGTATCTCACGCCTCTGGCTTCCTTGGGTGCCTGCACTCATGTGCACACACACACACACACACACATATACACACAGTTAAAAATAAAAATAGTGCTGGCTGTGGTGGCGCATGCCTTTAATCCCAGCACTTGGGAGGCAGAGGCAGGTGGGTCTCTGAGATCGAGGCCAGCCTGGTTTACTAGCCAGTTCCAGGCCAGTTGGATCTCCAGTCCAAAGAGATCCTGTCTCAGAAAACAAAACAAAACAAAAAAACCAAAGAAAAATAAAAATTATTTAAAAATTATATATAATATATAATTAAAAATATATATTTGTTAGCCGGGCATGGTGGTGCACACCTTTAATCCCAGTACTCGGGAGGCAGAGGCAGGCGGATCTCTGTGAGTTCAAGGGCAGCCTGATCTCCATTAGCAAATCCAGGCCAGCTGTGGCTACAGGGAGAACTTGTCTCAACCCCCCCCCACCCCAAAAAAATGTATTTGCTGTTGAGACAGGGTCTCACTACATAACCCTGGAACTGGCTATGTAGGCCAGGGTGGCCTCAAACTCACGGAGATCTACTATCCTCCTCTGCCTCCTGAGCGCTGCTATTAAAGGCATGCGCCACCATGCCTGGCTCCACAAAAAAAGTATAAATGTGTTAAAAATAAAGGAGAAGATATGATTTTTTAAATATTTGCTATTAAAAGACAGGGCTGTTTTCAGCACACATTAATGATTCTATTTCAGCATGCAATAATAAAATTGAATAATGTGATACTGTAACAGCATTTAAGTCTCTAAAATATCGTACAGGTGTCTAGAGAGATGGCTCAAGGGTTAAGAACACTGGCTGCTCTTGGAGAGGGCCCGAGTTTGTTTCCTGGCACTCACAACTGTCTGTAACTTCAGCTCTGGGAGATCTGACAGACTTTCCTGGCCTCCTTGGGCTCCAGGCATGTACTTGGTGCACATACATACATACATACATACATATATACCGGCACAAAATACATAAAATTACAAAAAAAATCTTTAAAAATATATGGAATATTGAACATGTTGAACCTCAGTGAATCATTAAAGCAATCCTAAATGAGTAAGAATTAGTTTCCTCTTTCTCCCCAAAATTCTATGCATCTAGAATTCTAGAGCTATAGCTCAGATCTGAAAAAACTAACCGCAATTTCAAGGGAGGAGGAGGAGGAAGGAAGGAGGCAGAGAGGTTCTTTATGTTAGGAGCTCTTTTTTCTTCCTGCTAATTAACGTACACTTGGCTCCTGCTAGATTCCATAGTATGGAGGTGCATCTGAGACCATAATTCTAGAAACACAGTCAGCTTAACAATACAGCTATATACCACCTAGCGGTCCCACAAGGCTGTCAGCTGAAAAATTCCTATTGCCTACAGATGTCCCACACAATACATTACCCCACATGAGGAGATGTTAGTGTGGTGTAAGCACTCTGCTGGATGACTGGTCATAGGGAAGTAGAGAACAGCAGACAGACTGTGTAGGAAGAGGGAAGGGCCTGAGGAGAGAGGAGGGACGACGGGGGGCGGGTGGGCAGAGAGGAAACACGTTTTCTGTCTTATGTGGAACCTACATTCAATAATACATACATGTCTGTGGCATGAAAGCAGTAAGAAGGGCATGTGGTGGGGGGAAGGGGACCAGTGGGAGAGGGAGAAGAGGGGGAGGGCAGTGTGAGGAGAACAGGAAGAAAGTACAAGGGTGTCAGAATGAAACCCATACTTTTGTAGGCTAACTAAAAAGAATGATAATAAAAAGACGAGGGGGCTGGAGAGATGGCTCAGAGGTCAAGCAAACTGGCTGCTATTGCAGAGGACCCGGGTTCAACTCCCAGCACCTACATAGTGGCTAACAACCATCTGTAACTCTAGTTCCAGGAGATCCAATGCCTTCTTCTGACCTCTGTGGGCATTACAGGACATGGGTGCACTTACATGCATGCAGGCAATACACTTATACATGTAAAATAAAAAAATAATTCTTAAAAAAAATGAGGAGGAGCCAGGTGTGGTGGTACATACCTTTAATCCCAGCACTTGGGAGGCAGAGGCAGGCAGATCTCTGTGAGTTGGAGGCCAGCCTGGTCTACATAGTGAGTTCCAGGCCAGCTGGGGCTACAGGGGAAAGAGGAAGAAGGCAGAATCCATAAAGCATGTTCAGTATGCATCTGATGATGGTGATGAGCTTCTGTCCTTTACTTTTTTTATTTCATCACACATTTTTATGTTTGCCTTCTCCTTCCACTTATAAAGACGGTTCCCTGCAGAGCGGTCTGAACTGCCTCAGACACCCTGCACTCCCTGAGCCTCCAGACTGACCACTGCCATGCAGGCTTTTGTCTGTATTCGGTGATGTCTGAGCAGCGAGGAGACAGTGTGATGACACACTTCTTGGATTGTGCCTTGTTAAGGGACGCGCGGTTGTAAATGGAGTAGGGAGCTGCTGGCAGCTTCACACTGATTTGATACTAAATGAAGGGACAATGGCTCCTTTCCTAGTGAACTCTGTCTACAGACTGATAGCCAAGATGTGGCAGACTCAGGGGCAGGGGCCACCCTGGCAGCATCACTGGATCTAGGGAGTGAGCTGAAGCTCACCAAATTCAGCCACTACAGGCACTGACTGACAGAGAACAGAACCCTAGTCTTGCCTGTCTGAGAGGGACAGAATGTCAGGAGATTGGAGGACAGGAGAGAAGGGGGTGCCCAGGCTTATCCTGGGTTAAAAAGGAAAATTATGGGGCTGGGGAATTGGCTCAGTCAGTCAAGGGCTTGTATTGCAAGCAGGAGGACCTCTCATTGCTCCCCAGAGCCCATGGTGAAAAAGGCTGGGCATGGTGGTGTGCACTTTTAATCCCGGCCCTGGGGAGGCAGAGACAGGCAGATCACTGGGGCCAGCAAGCCTAGTGTAGCCCAGGCAGATCAGTGAGTTCCAGAGCCCCCCCATTCCTCATTCCTCCTCTCTCTCTCCCCCTCTCTCTCTTTCTCTCTCTCTCTCTCTCTCTGGTGTATGTGAAAGAGAAAGAGCCTTTTAAATTTAAATTTTATGTGTATCAGTGTTATTCCTGCATATATGTAAGTGCACCTGTGTCATGCAGTGCCCACAGAATCCAGAAAAGGGTGTTGGGTCCCCTGGAACTGGAGTTATGGATGGTTGTTAGTTGCTATGGGGGTGTTGGGAATTGAACCCAGGTCCTCTGTAAGAATAGTCAGTGCTCTTAACCTCTCTCCAGCCCTGAGGCCCTTTGGTTTTGTTTTGTTTTTTTTTTTAAAGATGGTCAGCATCCCAAGGAAGGGTGACTTCTGGCCTCCACATGCACATGTACACATGTGCATTCCCACATATGCATGCACACATACACCCATACCTGTACATATACAAACATGCGTACACATACACACCAAAGAAAGAAAACAGAAATGGTCCTGTCATTTCAGCTGTGCTGTAGGAAGAACAGCTTTCCTGAATGTGAAACCTGCTGATTATGAAGCTGGACATAGGCCAGGCTGGGAACTAGACAGTGCAAGTCCTTGAAGTCAAAGCCTCTGTCTGTTCCGGTTGTCCTAGTGCTTAAATGCTAGAACAATTTAGGCTCTCAGCAGCGTTTCAGATCAGAGGTTAAAAATCTAGAGGCTAAAAATGAGTGCTTTCTATTTATAGAATATTATCGTATTTCCAAGAAATGACCCGGCGGGAAGCCGTTCTATAGTGGTGACTCAGTTGGCTCCTTCCTCTCCCTCTCCATGCCTGTGGTGTGGCCTGTCTTCTTTGAATGGTCCTGACTTAGCAAATCGAGCTCAAGGCCCAGGAACATGTGAAGCCAACATGTTCCTACTGTGGAACGAGCAAGGAGAAGCACCATGTGTGGCTGTGTACCCTGAAAGATGCTCACCAATGTGGGGTGCTTGACCCTGCATCCTGCCATGCCGTGCCTAGGATCACTTGTGGCATGTGGGGGCTTCCTGCACATGTGGCCCTGATGGACCTGGAAGCTTCTTGTATTGCCTTCCTTCCTCAGGCCACATCTGCATTTCCTCAGGACACTAGCAAGATGTTCTTGTACTGGTTACTGTGTCTCAAATCCCTGTGCAGTGGTTCTATGGGGCTGAGGAGACAATGGAAGGGAACCAAATGCCAGTGACCTCCCAGAAGTCAAAGCAACATGGAAGGCTGCAATAAGAGAAAGGGAGAAGATGGCACTTCTGAGGTCAGTGTGTGCTGCCAGAAGGTGTGTGGGCACGGCTTCTCAGAGTAAGTGAGAGCCAACCTCCAGGGGCACCCGGATGCTGTCCTCCGTGGTATGGACTGGGTCTCTGAGGAAGACACCTCTGTGGTGATCGACTGACTAGAACTTTGTGATTGTGGAGAGATGGGGTATTGCAGATGGAGAGTCAAAGTGACCCTGCCTGAGCTGTCTTCAGACCCTTAACAGTCATTTATTACCAGTTCTGTACATGACCTAACAACTCCGTTAAGTCTGACTGTTTCAGAGTGTACTGGTAAACTCAGCTTACCACTAGCTTTACCAGCCCTCAAGCTCTGCCATCTGATAGCATCTGAGGACCACAGTAGAGGTCTCCATGCTCTGCTGTAACCCAATCCATCTGATGTTTCTGCCAATCTCTCTGGTGAATGCATTGATTTCTGACTTCTTTGTTGTCTGACTATAAACATTTATGTAACCTCTTCCACAGTGGAACATGTCATTTGGGGTAACTTGAATCTGTGTTCCCAGGTCATGGTCATTCATATTTGGCTTAGAATAAACTTTTTCTTATTCCCATTGAAGGAAGAGCTGTGTTTTACATCGGAGGTGGCTCTTGGGGTGTGAAGCCAACATGTTCCTGTTGTGGAATGAGCAAGGAGAAGTACCATGTATGGCTGTGTATCTTGAAAGATGCTCGCCAATGCATAGGCCTTGCAGCCTAGCTGTAGAGTCCCTTAGGAGTCCCTGGTATGATCTTCAAATACAGATAGTAGGGTCTGGTAGAAGCCCAGGAATCTGCAGTTTCAACAAACACATTTGATGATTCTACATGCTCCAGGGAGCTCCAAACTGCACTTTAAAGATGTGGCAAGCAGAGACAGGTCATGCTGAGCTGGTCCCCACTCTCACAGAGAGCCAAGGTCCCTGGCCCATGAATGCAGGAGGCAGGAGGGTCAACTTTCAGGCTAAGCGCTGTGCAGTCTCCCATAGCCTTGTGGCGCCAGCATTGATGAGGCAAGTGGATGTGACTGCACAAGTCTGGATGGGATTAGCAGGAAGGTCTTCTGACATTGCCTCCCTGGAGCAGAGTGATGGGGACCAAAGTGAGCTCAGCCTGGAAGTGTTGTTAAGAAGAGTGATGGCATGGGGAGGGGGATTGCATGTATAAAACATTTTGGGAGAATGTTGATTAAATAAATCTAGCCCTCTTTCTTTTTTTAAAAAATATTTTATTTATTATTTTTATTTTATATGTATGAGTGTATTGTCTGCATGTATGTGAGTGCACCTGTGTTGTGCAATGCTGCACAGGTCAGAAGAAGGCTTTGGAGTCCCCTGGAACTGGAGTTAAGGACTGTTTGTAGTCGCCATGTGGGTGATGGGAATTGAACCTGGGTCCTCTGCAAGAGCAGTCAGTACTCTTAACTGCTGAGCCATTTCTCCAGCCCCTAGTCCTGTTTCTTTACTAAAGAAATTCTGGGGGTTGGAGAGATGACTTGGTGGTTAAGAGCACACACTACACTTATAGGGGACCTGGTTCAGTTCCCAGGGTAACTCACTATAGCCTGTAGCTCTAGCTCCAAGGGATCAGACAGCCTCTTCTGCCCCCTACATTGCCCTTGGGCACATACACCCATGCATGTGTGTGTGTGTGTGTGTGTGTGTGTGTGTGTGCGCGTGCACACACACACACACAGAAATAAAAATAAATTTTAAAAAATTCTGAAGGATGGTGGAGCATGGCACGCCTTTAATCTTAGCACTCAGGAGGCAGAGGCAGGCAGATGGATCTTTGTGAGTTTGAGGCCAGCCTGGTCTACATAGTGAGTTCCAGACCAGCTGGGGCTACAGGAGACCCTGTCTCAAAAAAAAAAAAAAAAAAAAAAACACAAAAAAACAAAAAACCTGAAATGTTTTAATATGCTGATGCACTCTGGAAATGTTGATCATAACACGGGAACTTCCTCAAGTGGCCTGTGAGGATTAAATGCTCCATCCATGCAGAGGACTTAGGACAATCAGCTAGTAAGTGCTCTATACAAGTGAGTTATTTTTGTTATTAGTATCCATGTGGGGAGATGTTTTCAGAATCATCTGACAAATGGACTTGACATGGTGGCCTCCCCTTGTCCCTTGATCTGGACTCTCGAGTCCTATGGAGGACACTTTGGGGGTAATCCTGAACTTTGTTGTTAGAATAGTAAATGACTTCTCAGACACCAAGCATCTAGTGCCATTATTAACAAGGACCATCAGTGTTTATTGCATGCTTTCTCTCTTCACTGGCACTGAACTGAGCCTTGATGCACATGATGTCACGTGCTGCTGATCTCTGCTTACCAGGGAGTTTATTTACCTCCTCAGCTCCCAGTTCCATGGACTCTTATTCCATAGAAACTACCTTGGAAGCTGCTTCTGTCTCCCTCCTCACAGTGTGCATATTAGAGCATTCCAGAATTCCACAAAGAGACCAGGGGAGTTACAGAGGAATTGGGGCTGAGGAGGTTAAGAAATTTCATATGGAGGAATTAAGACTCAAACTCTGCTAAGTGGGCCTCGAAGCTCCAGCTGTTGATCCTCCCAGAAGCTACCCAAGGCAAAGGAATCCAGGTTGACCTGGCATTCCCCTCAGCCCACACTCACCTTGCAGGAGAGCCCTGGAGGGCCTGGCGTTCCCCTCAGCCCACACTCACCTTGCAGGAGAGCCCTGGAGGGCCTGGCATTCCCCTCAGCCCACACTCACCATTTTTTTCAACTGGCACATTGCATCGAGGACAAGGCTTGGTGGTTTTCTTGATGGTCTCCTTGGAGGCCTCTTCCCAACGAGCTTGCTCTTCGGCTTTTTCGTCTACTCTGTAGGCCTGGGTTGACAGAGATAAAGGAAGTTTAAACCTGGTCTTTATTATTGGGATTGAAGTCCAGTTTCCTTGAAATGCTGGTATAGGAACTTCTCATAGATGGAAGTGCCTTTGGGCGAGAAGCTTAAATATTAACTCGTTTGATAAGCATTGGACAGCCATCAGACGTGTGGGTGCTGCGCTCTTGGCGTGTGGCATATGCTTACGAGCTAAGAAAAGACTGCTCAGTTTTACAGCGTGGAGTCCTGTCTTCTGGGCTTTTATACAACTGTAATAGATAACATCTAGCAAGCGGTTGATATGTGGTGGAGCGACCAAAACCTTTGTGTGCTTCTCCTTAGACCGTTGATCATGTGCGAAGTGAGCACACGCTACTTCTGAGGGTTAAGAGGTGAACAGTGGCCTGCCTGACTCCATGGGCTTCCATTTTAAACTTCCCTATATCTCATTCTCCTTTTACGTCTTATGACTGGAAAATGGGGAGCTCCACTGTTACCCAGGAGGCACAGGACTGAGAACAAGGTGGTGACAGGTGACGGCCGGAGGTTAGGACTGTGGGCTATGGAGGCAGCTGCCTGGGTTTGAGTCTCAGGTAGGCCACTTGGAAGCATTTCTTATTCTCTCTGAGGGCAAAAGAACACTGTGATCTGGAAACATATTTCAAAATGTTAACCCAAATAGAATTCCTCCATCCCGGCCTCTATGGTATTTATTTTTCCTCTGTGCCTTAATACCAACAAGCAGGTCATTTTATTAACTTGCAATAATGACTGAAAAAATAGTTCCAGAGCCACTGAGCGGCATCAGTGTTGATTAAATGAGCAACCTGGGAAGCCTGAAGGCTGTGAGCCCTGCCCAGCGGTGCCCAGTGGTGCCCAGAGGTGCCCACAAGCAGGTTTCCAGTTCACAGCATCGGATTCTGAGAGCCAAGTCCTACCCAGGCCTGTCGCCTGTTAGCAGAAGTGAAGTGCTGGGTTGCCTGTGCCCGGAAGCCACTGCTTAGCAAACACCAACCTCCAATTTTCAGAGTGCTGTGGGGTCCCCAGTGAGACCTAAGTCTGGTGGGCAGAGTCCTTCATCTCAAAGACAAATCCCATTCTGAGGCTTTGAGATGTTAAACTTTTCCAGCCTTTATGAATGCAGGACTATGAAGAAAATAACTATGTTTGTGTCTAAGTTGCAGCCTGTAACAGCTTTTGTAGGAACTGGTATTTACACTTCTATTACTTCCAACAGAAAGTGAATTCTTCCATGCCAAGGTCATGTTTGAGTCACCCTGTATTTCCAGCCTCTGGCTTGGTGCCTGGTACACAGTAGGCACTTAGTCAATTTTAGCTGACTAAATGACAGTCATCTGGAATAGGACCCTGTGAGAGGGGGGCACAAAGGGTACATCTACAAAGATGGTGCTGGCACCGAGATGAGCCGTGGGTGAAACTAATTTCATTTCTGTTCATTCTGTTGCATTCTCAAAAGCATCCTTTGCTACAAAGGCTCTCGTGATTCATGAGCACTTTGCTAGATAAAGCAGAGTTAATTAAATGCTGAAAGGCACCCACAGGTCATCGAAAACTTACTTTGGCTCTGGCACATCTTATTGATGGCAGCTGTGGTTGATGAGGACTGTTGCAAGAGTTGGTACCCAGGCACGCTTTTTTTTTTTTTTTTTTTTTTGAGACAGCTGGCCTGGAATTCACTATGTAGACCTGGCTGGTTTCGATCTCACAGAGACCCACTGGCCTCCGCCAGTGCTGGGATGAAAGGCGTGAGCCACCACACCTGGCGTCCTCCAGGCATGCATTTTAACTAGTCTTCCAGTCTGCAGGATGCACATGCGCTCCTAAGACTTGGTGGCTGAGATGGTGCACCTTCACTGCCAGCTCATCACCTAAGAATACCTCTTGACGTGTCTCTGAGGATGTGTCCAGAGAGATTTAACCGAGGAAGGCGACCCGCCCTGAATGCGGTGGCACCATCCTATGGGCTCAAGGCCTGGACTGATGAAAAAGAACAAAAGGAGAAAGCTAGCTAAATTCCAGGACTTTACCATTTCAACTGAGGGGGTGGGGGAGAGGGGGG